ATTTATAAACTAATTCACACTCTAGACTCATTTTTATTCATTTCCACTACCAGTAAATCGACATTAACGACCGCAGAATCTTTAGACCGTAAATCTTCACTCAACCGTGAAATTTCATTCAACTGTGAAGTTGTACCAGTAAACAGGACGTGAAATATGTATAAACTAATATGATTGGTCATTCTGAACAATGACGTTTCCCGTCTTATGGTAATAAAATCTGAAGCACGTCGGAGAATTGTTGTGGTTTAACGGTGACAAAAACAACCATATTTTGACATACTTTGACGTCATGATTTCCTAATGTTATGAATAAAATAATATATTGTAGAACTATCAGTAGAAGTTGCGCGAGACTAATTCCCAATCCTTCTCCAATGCCTTTGCTAAGGTGGATCCGTATGCGTATAATGCAAGGATGCTGTAGCAGGAGTAAACAGAGTTGCTGATATATTGTATTTTGATATTCCTAGAAAAATTTTTACGTTTAATGTTGACGAAAAAAAATATTGAATTGATATAATTTTCTGTTACAGAGATCCCAGTTTAATAACTCTGGTCAATGGTCTTGTTAGGTGCGCTGGTATAAATACACATCATAAAAAGATTCTTACTAAAATTCAATCCCACATCTGTTTTCATCGCTGCATTGCGTGCTAATATCATCAATATATGACAGATAGTTCGATACGGCTTTTGAAAAGGCTCATAGATACAAATACGTGGGTCAGTGATCGAGACCGCGCTGTTTAGGGGGTGTGTTTCACCCGTGATACGAAATTTACGTCAAAGCCTTTTGATGTGATTTTAGTATTCACCACATGTTTAAAAAGAATGGGATACGTTACTTGAAATCACAACGTCGTAAGTCCCTACATACTGGCAAAACACAACACACCGGGCAATAAATCTTGTTAACGTGAGCTATTTGTATCATTAATTTCAATTTATTTGTGACAGTGAAATCTTTTCCCACCATAAACTACAAAACATAACATATCGGTTCCAACTTGCTTAAAAATCTTTCAACACCACTTTGAGTTTTTGAGTCAATTTGTAAATACAGCGCATCCAATTTTATGGTGATACCTTGAAAAAAAAAGATGAAAGCTGGTAAACTGAAAAAATATCGGGGTTCAATTTCAAAATAACGTTCGCGCCTCATTTGTGAATTTAATTTCGTGAATTTATGTTTTTTGCTATTTAAATATTATTGTTGTAACAAAGTTTTTTTCCCATGTGTTCGTTTCTAAAATTAGACATCAAAATATTTTTTTTTAAAATATACGTTTGTTCGGCACCTCTCTGTGTTGGCATGATATATGTCTTGCCTAATATTATCTGAGCCCATGTAATTGAAATAAAGCATAATGTCATGCTTTTTCGGTTATTCCTTACAGCACAAAACAGGCAAACTGCTGTCTTTTTTAACTTCAACTACAAGAAAATAGTGGAAACTGTATATAAAATGCTATAAGAATTCACTGCTGGGCTGGGCTTATAGTATCGTGAATCAAACTTGTTGTGTATATGGCATTCCAATATAGCATGTTCATCCTCCATTCAACGTCATTAGGACCATGGTTCGAGAGAACGCTAAGTAAAAGGAAACACTAATGTATCAACGTTCAAAGCGAGATTAAATACCTGATGAAATAGCTTTTCCCTCAATATATCCTGTTTATGTTATATTTATTAATTCGGAAACCGCTTTCCACTACGGAAACAGCTTAATTTCGCCAGTCTTGTATTTGGAATTCAAGCGCAAAGGTTATTTGAATGAGGCGCGCTCGTCTATTTTGTCTAACTTAACATTGAAGTTGGTAAATTTTAATTAAATGATAAAAATTCGAACCTCATCCTGAATCGGCCTTGAATATAATGTACAGGGTGACCCAGAAATAGAACCCTCAAAATTCTTAATTACAAAAACGATGAAAGTTTATTTAACTCTCGAACTTATGTTTGAGTATGATTGTACCTCAAAATTTCTGTAATCTAGGACGCTTTGCGCAAAAGTTCTCTCTAAAACAGTGGTTCTCAAACGATGGGGCTCGCCCCACGCGAGGGGTGTAATTGTTTGAGGAGAATAAAAATATTTGTTCGGTCTGATCTGGCCTGCTTTATTTTGGATATTTACGTTCCATCCATGTATTTTCAACGTGTTTTTGAATAAAGCATACTTTCGCCTCACTACCTGTTATTTGTAGCTTGTTGTTAGCCAGTTATTTTTTAAGTGGGCGCGAGATTTGACAAATTCTAAAAAGGAGGGCGCGACTTAAAAAGTTTTAGAACCACTGCGCTAGAATACGTTCGAAATGACATGAGTTCTGTTTCTGTGTCACTCTGTACCATTAGCTTGCATGGTTGAACATGAATTAAAACTCGGAAATAGTTAATACTTGATAAGTGAGAAATCTGGATGGACACGTGGCTGGTAGGGGATTACCTTGTCGTATTAAATTAGATTAAAAAAAATCAAAGATTTTTCTGAATGAAGGTCAGATTTTCAACAGGTTGTTTTTGTCAGTTCCGTGTAGGATTGGCCAATAGGATCGTTACAGGTCATTGAGAATCAAAAGTAAATTTGTCACGTCCAGTTTTCACCGGACAATCCAGTCAACTGGACTTTGATGTAGGTGTTAGAAAAGATTTTTTTTTTTATCAGGAATGCGCAATGTTTATGACAACTTTTTGAACATGTTTATAACACTATCCGGATCTGCCCTATTCGACTTTGATGTAATGATTTAAAAGAGAGGATTTTCTTGTTAGATGTTCATTAGATCTTGTTTAGATGTTTTCATTAGATGTTCAATGTTTTTTGGCATTTTTTTGTATGATTCAAAACATAAACATAGTTTAATTCAGAATAGACCAAACTAAATATAAAAATCTTAAACACACCTCCAGCCCAGTTTTCCACTTCAAAGACGAAATCTATTTTAAAAGATGAAAGCGTCGGTCAGCTTGTCGCTATTCGTGGTTCAGTGACAACACAAGTCATAGCTTGACACATGAACGTGCTGAAGTGGAGGACATATGGAATTAAAACGATACATTGTTATTACATATGTGTGAAGAACAAGAAAATGCCGTGTTCCGCGATCTAAATCCGATTCGATACTAATCTTAATTTCCCCTTCAAAATTCAGATATTTTATAGACTGCTTCATTGTGGAGCTAATAAATAGCTAAAGTAACTAAAATTGAAAATGGAAATTCAACGACAGAATGTCATTTTAAATGATACAAACTAGTTTGTTTTCGTTTTAGGATGATTCGAAAATTCACTCTGACTAAATACACTAATATTTCAAACTAAAGTATCATTTGAAATGCTGAATTTTTTTGTATGTGTGCGTTCGTGGTCATTAATTTTTCAAACAAAATCAGAATTTATGGAAATAAGAAATGCAAATTTAATGTACAAATATCATTTTAAATCATAAAACAAACTATTTTATTATAACGATTTTTAATTTCCTTTCTAGACAGACTAAATCAAAATAAAACTATCAAGTCCCAAGATTAAGTTACCACAAGTCAACGAAATGTAAAGGGAACATTCCAATTCCTCTGACAACCAAAAAATGACCGAAAAAGTGGACATTAACACTAAACTAACACGCCCTTTCCTGCTGTCATTAGCCCTAAAAACGATTGATTTGATTAATGAACGAAAATAGATGTTAAAAAGCGATAATCATCTATGAAAACAAACACAGAGAACGCCGATTCTCAAGAATTTTTGGAAAACTAAACGGGTTCAATAGTTAGACAAAAAGTTGGACGAAAGTGTTAAATTAACTAGAATTTAGTCGTAACCCGGTGATAGCCTTGTGATCTCAAGCGTCGAACTTAGCTAGTCACAGATTAAAACCGTATATTCAAATCTGCCTCGTTTCTGCCACAAGAAGAAACTTATAAAATAAAAATATAGAGTTTTTTTTTTCGAGACAGTAGTTGACTGTAACTCTTCTTAGGCGCAACTTGAGGGTGCTGGGAGCCATGCAATTTGGCGGCATTTGCAGTAAGACATAAATTTTTACGCCGTTCCCAATATTATTTTGCTCTATTTTTGAACGGTTTACTGAAAACCGGAATTGTGATCTGGCCTCGTTCTGAACAAAAGGCACGATTAAGCGTCGTATAACGTCATTACGTCATTATACCAAAAAAATGGCCGCGTCCCAAAATTTTGGGCTGGCTACGTTCATGATACTCATCCCACTTTTAGTTTGAAGTTCGGGGTCTTGCTTTGATTAAAAATTTTATGTACTTAAATATTTTATTCCAATTTTGTTTTGAGAACCTAAACTGAAGAATTGAAAATAAAATACCCAAATTCATTTTTTTCACCTTTTCGTGGATGGCACCGGACTTTGTCTTGAGAAATTAGAATTGGGAAATAAAAATAACATACACTCGAGTATTTCGTTACAAAACAAGCGTTTAATTTCCTCCATCGCCGCCATGATTTACTACAATCTATAAAAATGCAATTTATTCTGTTTGCTTGTTTTTTAATGGTTGACTGAAAATCTTCCCTTACCTTGACGAGACATGGGTCACAGATTGTGAACTCAAACCGCAGAAACCACAATATATTGTCGCTTGAAATTCCATTATTTTTTATTATTACAGTCTTTAATTCAATTTCAAATAATGTAATGATTAGATTTGAATAGGCTTCTTTTGTATTGGATATGCTGTTTAATATTCATAGATTGTGTATTCTGGATATGTCATACTGAAGCGGGTTCTTCAAAAACTAAATATAACACCGTCAAATGTGTATTGTATATTAATTCTCTTTGCCAATGTGTTGTGACTGAAATATGGATTAGTGGCTAAATGTCAGTCTCTCCACAACGAGTGCGCCCTTGCACAATAACTGGTCAACTGCTTACTACATTTTGTCATGCACTTTCTCGCTTGTTTGCTCCCAGTAAGCTTTTAAAACAGAAAATAACTAACAGTCATTTATTCTATTCCAGGTCATGCTTGCTACTGTGGGAACTATGGTTACGGTCGTTATGGTCAGTCTTCAGAACGAGGAACACGTTGCGCCACCAAGTGTTTCGGGAACAAAAGTCAACCTTGTGGAGGTGATGGTTACGTGGACGTTTACAGAGCAGATATCGGGACGTGTGGGACAAAAACTCCTCTTCTAACGCCATCCGGGGCAGTCTACTCTCCGGGTTACCCTGATCGTCCAAGCAATGATATTTTGACATCGTTGAAAGCCTCTGAAGCTATGATGCAGCAGTTGAAAGATGAGATAGCAAAGGCACAAGGTCTTACTCGCGAGAGTAAGTCAATTTCATGACTTTTGTTACATTATCCCTTATTAGTATAAGTCTCCGTCGTGAAAGGCGAGCAAGATGAGAATCCTCATGTCTTTAGATCAGTTAAATTAACTGTATGCCTCCTATACTTCTCAAATGTCGAGAACATAATAGGATACATCCACAATATTCTATGAAAAAATGTTTATAACTCAGATAAAGATGTGATGATATTGGTATTAATGTAGAATCTCCAAACAACGCACGCTGGACAAATACACTGCAGGACCATGCTTGAGGCATTGTTTTGCAAACAAATAATAAAATAAACTCAATGATGTTTGTCAAATGCAAATCACATTAGGCTGAAATGAAATAGTTCTGTGTTATTAAGTTGACTATCACTCTGTAATTATGGTTTCAAATTAATTTGCAGTCTATAGTCTGATATAATGGTAAATCTTATATATCCGACTTTTTGGAAATTCATAAATTATGAGATCTGAAACCATTTGTCATTTGCGATTATTCGGCACACAAGATAAATATTTCACACAAGATAAATATTGTATACTCATTTTTCAGAACATTTTTACAACGATTTTCACTAATTATTAGTTATTACAATCCTTATTATACAGGCGACACAACTACAAGCAGCGATTTGCCAACTTCGCCCGAAAATTCTTGCGAATGGAAAATAGACATCAAACAAGCTTCACAAATTAACACTATAATAAAGAAAATCGATTTGAAAGGCAAATTGGGGGGCGTACTTGAAATCGAAGCTGGAAAAGGCGCCATGGTTGTCGTCACTGTTCCTTCCAAGTTCGTGACGTCATTAAATGATACGTCATCAACGCCTGAAAAAATAATAATAAAGTCTCCGATAGTTTGGGTCACGGACTCAACAGTATCGAGGCACGGAATTGATATTGTCATTCCTGACAACAAAACGGAAAATGGGAGCACTGAATTTCAACCAGGTAGAATTTTAGTGTGCACTTTTGAATTTGGCTTATCAGAATTTACTGTTGTATGTTGCGGGGTTGGTAGTGTAATTGTTAAGGGTTGGTAATTATTAAGATATTTATAAAATTGGGGTCACAATCTGACAAACCCACCCATAATTTATTTAAACGACCTGTATATTATGAAATGAAAAAAAATGACAGAATTGTAGTTTATCTGTTTAGTTAGACTTCCTGAGATTTATGTTCTTGCTAATCTAATTTAATAATACTTGAATGTGTATTTGTAATTTGAGTGGAAAGAGGAGATATATAATAAATGTCAAATGCACGAAATAGGGTATCATGTTTTTGCCATTTTTCTTCACCATCTTTTTCTTTTGCAGGTGAGAAGCCCCAATGGTCTCCAAATCTAGCCAAACAACAATGGCCAAGATACGTCATACCAGCCGATAGTTTAGAACCAATGGTATCAATCGAGGGCGGGGTCTTCGCAATTCGTTTCCGCCGTGGTGCAGAACTAATAGCGTCAATGCAGTCAGCCTTCGACCACCATCATCAGGGACTAAGCAGTCGCCGTAAACGAAAAAGCGCCGACTGGAGTCGTTTCGTACTGGAGTACGAAGCTACTTTTCCGGAGGAGGTACACCACGTGAAAACCGATGACGCAAACGTGCCTGATGGCGTCAAAAATACCAGAAAACATTCAGGTACTGGTAGCACACGACGACACAAAGTCAGTAGACGTAAGAAGCCGAGGAAGCCAGACAACGGCCACGACAAATCTCACCCTAAAAACACTCTTACCCCCGATATGGGACTGGGGCAAACTCTTTTCAAGATCTCAAAAGAAGACGCAACAGCGATCAGGGACGCGATTGCGAATCATCCGGATGACGCAGACTGGAGTGAAGGGTCAAAATCGACGATCAAAATTGAAGTAATTGTTGAACCCAGACCCGGAAATCCTTCGACCAGTGAGAAACCGCCGGAAGGGAAACCAGCAATGTCAGGTAAGAATGTCACCCTCCAAAATCAAAGATTATTCAAATATTTCTAACATAACTTATCTTGCTCTTAGTAGAGGTCGCGCGAGACTAACTCCCAATCCTTCCTCAATACCTTTGCGCTAGTGAATGCATATAATGCAATGATGCTGTAGCAGAAATAAAAATACCATACTATGCAATTCTGCTGCACACTAACACAAGTGTATACAACAATGACAGAAAAAGAACAATCATATCGCCTATTTAAACAACATGATTGTTTTTTTTTGTTATTGTTGTAAACTGCTTGTCTGAGGAAGTCTGATTTTGGTCAGACTAAACGTTACAGAAATAAATTTGTTTTAGTGTGCAGCAGGACTCTTAAATTGCATAGTAACTTATCTTGTCTCGACTTTAAGTGTATAAGAATAATGTCAAATATGTAATAAAACTGCACAAAACCAAACTTTACAATTTCAAATTTCCTTTACTTGTGCTAATAACACTTTTCCAGATTTGTACCTAATTTATTCGATTGAAACAATACCGATTAACAAAACGAAATAAAATATGAATTTCAAACTAAAAATCGAATATGACAAATTCGGTCATGCATGAAGACTTCATAAAAATTTTGAAATTTATATCGGACTAGTACCGTAATGTAGTACAGCCTGAACAAGGGTTTCCCTAAATGGCTTGTAATAGGCAGCGCTCATTACATTTACTTTGTGCTATGTAAAATGGAATTTAAGTGAATATAATCCCATATACGTAACGCGTTCTCGCACGCTAATTTGCGTGGGTTAATTTTGCCGCTTTAATAAGCTTCCAGTACCCCCAATACTGACCTTTTTTACCCAGATTTAAAATTTAAACACGACCCCAGCTTTATGTTTCGGAACCCATCAATCATTTAGCCGAGTCAGACATCTTTGCAACAGAGTATAGGGCAAGATCCGCAAGCCTCACACATTCGCTTTTAAAAATATGCCATCATCGTATACTCTTGACTCCACCTACAATTGTGGGTTAATTCAATGTCCATGCTTGAAATACCGCGAGTAATGACTGTTTGCATGCGCGCTTTTACCCCCTTTTTTGACGTAATTCTTCACCTTTTCAAAATTACCCATAATCCAATTAAAATGCTTTCCACTTTATCCAGCACTTTTTGTTTTTGGGGAAACTGTTGCAGCGAAAATTTACAAACTTTTATTAAAGACAGTAAAGAAATTCTCGTTTACTACTTTTGGGCATCGGCAAATCTAAACTTGTCATTTATTCTTAACTGTGCCTTCATTACTTACATATAGATACTACAACGCGTCAGGTTTTGCTGATATATCCTATATCAGTACTATTTTTACTTCCTTTCAAATTAATTCTTGGGACATTTTTTTAAAACCTTAAAAGAAAAAATAATACCACGCAAAATATGTCCGAGGATTAGCAAAATCTTCCGCTTAATTTCAAAAAGAATAAAATTACCCTTCTTATTTCAATGTAGGTTTTAAAGGGGTCTGAACGTTGTTCTAGTTTGGTAATCCATTAAATAAATACCGATTGGCTAAAAATAGTGTCGTCCGGGTTTTAAAAAGACTTTATCTATTTTGGTGGTCAATCTAATATGGGCCTCATGTGGCAAAATTTGGGGACATTTATTTTCATTACACGAGTGCAAAACTTGAAATCCAGATAAAGGGATTAAATTTCCAATTTAACAGGAATTTTTCCAGGCAGTATATGTCTGCAATGATAAAACCCAGACATTGATGTAAAACTACAAAGTTTATGAGATTTAGAGACAGTTCATCTAGCTTTCTAAGGCTTTTTTGTTCTTGATAACGAAATAATGAGGCGTCATCTCAAGTATAGTTTAATCTCTTTGCTTGAACTAAACATACTTAACCACTTTCATCTTTAATTGGAAATATTGAACATGGCGTCTGAATACATTCCGACTGAACTTTATCTGTACTATTATAACCTTTCAACCTTAACGTAGTAAACTGTTTGATGAAAAAATTACGGCGCAAGTTTTGGTGACATACACATGTGAATTCTCAAAATTCGGATAGAAAAATCTTCAATGTCAAAACCATGACGTTTACTGACCATTTCGGCAGATCGTAGATTATAAAGCATTTGACGGATGGCCGAAAAACTGGGACGAATCGAAAGCACTTATAAATACTTCAGGATTCGTGAAATTCTCCACGATAAGATAATTTGAACTTTTTGAATGACATAATTTAATGCACACGTGTTTGCGGGTTATTTGTTTTTGGTTTTCTTAAACTTTTATTATTGACATATGACTGTTTACTTAACCTGGACTTTTAGTTGCACATTTTTTAAAATCCATTCACATATTTATAGAATGTCAACTAAATAAAAAGTTTCACAGCCAGCTTATTCTTCGTATTATTAAATAAAATTTATTTTTGAAAGGACCTTTTTGACAGTAGAAATCACGGTGTTCTGTATATTTTTGAAATTCATTATTTTAACCAACTTTATTTTTTCACTTTTAGAATTCACCATTCCACTACTTCTGGCTGTGCTCTTAACTACAACAACAATTCTAATCCTTTCTGCGGTGTTAGTAATTTTCCGTCGGGGAGGAATATCGAACAAGAAGAATGAAAAATCAAAACAAAACTTCACTCGTGGTCTCGTCGTTACATGTCCTCAAGATGGCGATAAAGAGAAGTCAGGATCCAACTCAGACGTGTCCTCAAGTTCGACAGCTGAATCGGTCATTCTCACTGATTCTGAAAACTCTAAATATTCTCCACGACCCCCACAGTCCAGTTCGCCACCAGTGAGCCCAACAACCATCAAGGATTTGATGGAATTTCTGAAAAGTCAGCCTGGACTAATACAAACTTCTCCGCCTGTTGAACCTGATCCATATAAACAGGTATCATCGACTTAAATATTTTGTATTATTGTAACAGTTGTTACATGGATGTTTCAAGCAAGGATAAAAATTGAGTAGGATGGAAGCATTTGAGATGAAACATTTTTTAAATAAGGTTCAGATTTATAATTAATTTTAAACCACCTCATTCAACTTTTTTGTATTGGAATGCAAATTTAACTGACAAAACCATTTGTCCAAATTAAGAGTCATCACTTCTGACCCCCCTCTCCCACAGTTACTAATCCAACAACTTTCTTTCAGATTCCATCAAGTTCTCATTTCTACGGTGCAGAAGGAGGGCGAAATGATCTCCGATCGGACGACGTAACCCCCTTGCCTGGTCCGTGCCCTCATTGCTGTGGATGTTCGGAAGACAATCGCGCACACAGACACGGAGATTCCTGTCGAACACATCACAATCAAGGGAAATACGGAAAACCCCATCAAAGCGGTTCTACATCGCGACCTAGTGGTAATAAAAACACTCGCGGACTTTCCCTCCGCCCTTGTAAAGGTAATGCGAGTACACAACAGATGCTGGCACCACCTTTGTCTCCAATAAGCGAAGTGTCCTCTGTGACGTCATCGATGATGTCGTTACCGATTACGTCTTCAAATTCACAAACGTCACTTCTCAAACAAACCCCGAAAAGCACGCCACACAAATTGCCCAAAAAAGACTACAAAGAGACTAGCCCAGAAACTGAAGCTTTTCTGTCCCAGGCTAGCGATGCTGAATCTGGCATCGTAGACTCTATTCAGCCCAAGAAATCCGAATTATCTCCGCGTAAGCAACCAAAACTACGGTTTAGCGAAACTGTAGGCGAAAAAATCGTCGCTGCACGATATCTGGGGGGTGCTGCAGGCGCGTGTTACGATAGCGGTTATGCTACCTCCAATTATGAAGAGGAAGAAGAGAGAATGAAAAATGAGAGTAAAAAGTATTCATCCGTATCTAACGGAGATTGTGACGTAACAATCTAGTGAAAACCGCGATTTGGCCAGAGTTGCCAGATGTAATACACCAAGTCCCGATTCGTAAGACACGGAAGAGAAGGGGAAAACGATAAACTAACATGAAATATGGCATCCCTCGTGTCGCCATAACTGATAGCCTCCTAGTAGCGAGTATCGTGGGAAAAATATACGAGAACTTGATATATATATAAAGTATAAACATAAAATGCTTTTTGATCGAGCGCATTCAATGTTCGATTTTTTACTCATTTTTTCTGTTCAAAAATTTATATAAATGTGTTATAAAAATAGACTTGTCTGCAATATCATTATGGGATCAAATTCTTGAATTTTTAGTGTCAGTGAACATTAACTGACAATTGGATTTGGGTAACCTTCCCTTCCCTCATACTTAAAGGTAACGATGTGAAAAATTTTGAACCCTGGTAAACCAAGAGGTTACATGATATATGTAGAATTAATAATGGTAACTGTTTTCTATTTTGCCTTGCGTGAGAGGATAGATACTAAATTAGTAAACTAAATAGGGTTTCAAGCGTTTGTTCTGCTGGATTTCTCCAGCAATTTTACTTCAAATATAGACACAACTCAGCCGCTAATACCTCTGATGTTATTACACATTTATTCTTGATCGAAGTTTTTTTTTATTCACATAAAACAATAAGTCTAGGATTTTCTGTATTTTTCCTGCTTTAGTTTTTTGTTTTTATTATAAACAAATTGTCTCTGTTTGAACTTTTGTAAAAAAAAGTGTTTACCAATATATACAATTTCACAACAGTTTCGATATATTGTTTACTGTTTCTCATTTTTATTGTATTGGACCCCTTAAGTTATCTATGAAAAACTAAAATTCGAACCTAGTTTTTCTATTTTAATTTCACAACACCCTTATTCCCTCCCCACCTAGCACAATGCAACCTTTTAATCGCCCCCTATAATTCAAAAGAGATTACTGATAGGAAGGATAATACAGGCACGAGCTACCTATAAAAGGAGATACCCGTTGATAGGTTCCTCATTATGAGTATCTGCGACTCTACTTTGATTAATCAATCTATTAGAGATGATCCTAAAAATAGTATTTTTTCAAATAAAAATCAGAACAAGGTCTTCTTGAAGACTTAAGGGGGAAAAGATCTGGTTATTTCGCTATACATATGCGATAGATTATTCATCAAAACGCATTTTTGGAAAAATGTCAATTTTGAATCAATGAAATATTGTAGTCTTATAACATTGTTTGTTAGAGACTTCTTATAAAATAGTTTTTATTGAAAAAATTTTAAATGCATTTAATAAAATGCCAATTTTGAATCTATAAAATAAGTAGCCTTGATAACATTGTTTGTTGGAGACTTCTTAGGAAATGGATTTTAACATATTGCAAACACGCTCATACACATTGCACTACTTAATTTGTATTGAATCGTCGGGACAATTGGATGTAATTTTTGAATGTTATCTGTTTGGACAAAAAATCATTACAAAATCTGAAATTTATTTAATTATCAAAATTGATTAACATCGCGGGGAATACTTGAATTCATTCATTTTTCCTTATTTTTTGTCAAATTATAATTAATTTAAAATTGTAATTATTATTTCTTTTTTATTTACTAAGTTCATGAAAAAATGTAAAAAAATTACTAAAATAAATTAATCTTTTTATATTTCGAATAATGATTTCACCATGCCTTCAAATATTCGCCAACTTGGAAAGGCACTATTTTATTTGCACTGATGTCACAATACGTTGTCAAATTGGTGGCATTGTGACATCAAAATTGTATATACACTTTCAATAAGTTTTTTTCTATTTTATGCCTCATTTTTTTGGTTATCGGTGTTTGTTTTGTTTTTCCTTTTTGTTGTTTAATTTTCTCGAAAATGTGTATATTAACTTCACCATTTTTGTAAATTCTGCGACAAATAAAATGAATACACTTTAGTATCGGCCTAATGCAGTGAAAGGATTCGGGGTTCCTGCGAACCTGTTCTTAGAAAGTCATGACATCAGCGTTTTGTTGTAGTTTCGTGTGTGTAGTTTCATGCCACGTGACTTCTAGTTGGCGTGACTCAGCATTTTCGCATATGTCATTCCTCCTCCCACCTGAATATGTCATCCAAAAATCACGTCACTTATACCCCACAGTGACGTCGTAATAATGCCCTCCAAAGTATACGACTGGTCGTCCATAACGCGCAGGCGAATAACCGAAATCAAGCAAGCTCGTATCGATCCCGACATGAGAGAGATCGCTGGCGTTCGCGAGTTCGTTATCGTCGGCGTGGATGACATTTCGGGCGATCGTGGCTATGCTTTAACGAGCTCTATGACGTGATTGTGACGTAATCTTCGGATGGGGTAGTCAGGTTAGGGATAACATAAGCAAAAATCATTATGCTACGCCCACTAGAAGTATTTGTGATAAGAAACTATACTAGACCCTAAGAACGTAGCAAATGAGTAACGTTCACCGCAGATGATGGCTAGTATAATATTTGGCGTATCGAAATTTGTGTATTACATTTAGTGACAAACATACAACATGTTAGTGAGGTCGATCAAACAAGAATCCTGAATCCCATCACTGCCGGTATTTTAACAGAACGAAAGATCTCCTAAACCAGGGGTCGGCAACCTTTTGTCGCTCGCGGGCCAAAATTAAGGCTGCAAGTCATTGGCGGGCCTCACATATTTTTGGAAAGTTGAAAAACCGAACGGATGGTACTTTTTATAATAAAAATCAAGCAGTGATACATCTCTCGAATAGAATATAGATTTATTTCCTCATTGCATCTCATTAAATCCCATTTGAATATTTTCAGCGCCATTGAACCCTTTGCATTTAGCATCAACTTTTCTGCGTTTTGTTGCCATTTGCTTAATTATAATTAAATTATATGCTCCATTGACGAGTAATTGTAAACTATATAATTGTTATAATATAATTTAGTGTAAATAATATATTCGTCAAAACGGATATTTTGTTACTATAATTTAGTGAAGCGTCGCGGGCCGGATTATAGTGCTCCGCGGGCCGGATTATAGTGCTCCGCGGGCCGTAGGTTGCCGACCCCTGTCCTAAACACTTAACGCACGGCCACGCAAGTTCTCTCGTAATCTCACGCACGGTCGTCACTCAACCGTATCATTTAATTGAGGCGGGCTATCATATTTTGCGACGACCTGCTGGATTGTCAGTTGTCTGCTTCCTTTTTGCAGCTTCTGTTTCAAAATTTGTATCATATATCCGTACCGTTACCTTAATCTATGGGATGAAATAGATTATGAAGTTACATATTGCGATTTATTTGTGTAACAGACAATGAAATCAACTAGTTGCCAAAAATTATTGTAATTCCATACCGGTACCCATTGTTTCATTGAGATAGTCTGTGTATTGGTTGTGGGTTATAGGCTACCTGTAGCTGCGTTTCAGTAAAACAGTAACTTGTCAGAGTGGGCGTAGGCTTATGTGGGTGGTGTGTTTAATATTATTTCTTACATTTTCGAGTTTTTTAGTATACGTGATTACTGAAATACCTAAAATGGAAAAGACAATGTGGTTTTCGTCTGTTGAAATTGAGGCACTTGTTGCAACAGCGTGTTTGGGGATTACTCTCAGAGTGTCACGACACAAACTAAAATAGCAGCGTGAAAAGATATTTCGAACAAGGTGTGTACAAAGTATGGAAGTTTATAAAAAACTACAGAATCCTATACAGTTAATGACAGGTTTACATGTGAGACAGCAAAATTTTCCATCATACTCTTTATCAAGGCTACCAAAATCAATAATTTACATTATTGAAAATTCAATTCATTCAGAATATACCCAGTACATTTCGAAATGGCTGACGGTTAAAGTGTTGTCTTCCGAGCTAGGATTTTCAAAATCATTGAACGTACTTGGACTTTGCTGCCTATGTCCTAGACCGGTGATTCTCAACCTTTTTTCTTCCGTGGCCCATTTTTATTGCCCAAAAATTTTTGTGGCCCGTTAACTTTTTATTACAAGAAAAATCAAGATCTTTCTGCGAAAATGGACACTTTCACGTTTATAATTACAATTATAATTACCACTCAGTAACAGAAAACAGCATCAGCATTGATTGCTGTTACAATTAAAAATTAATATTGTGATATGAATAAATCTATCTGTGGCCCAGCAGTGGGCCGCGCTCCACTGGTTGAGAATGAGTGTTCTAGACCAGTGTTTTTCAACCTTGATTACCGTGGTATACCTTTTACAATTTTTCAAGAGCTTTGTATACCTTACAAATACCAATGTTTATCCAAGCTCTGGCCTAAATAAACATTTTTAAATTTTGGGCACAGATTGTACTGCAATATCATCATGCAATCATGCAATCATAGTGTTCGCAAGTTATAAACGTTGTAATTTGACAGCCTTAGCGTCAACGGGAATAATGTTAAACGTAAATCAAGCATCATGCATGGCAGCCAAAATCATCAACCCAGAAACGTGCCTGCATTATCTATAAAATTTGTGATGTAACAATATGCTTAAGTCAGTAATTTGCGTAAATAACAATTTAAATTTCATGTGCGCCCCATTTGCATTGTTGTCTCCGCATGAATGTTTTATAATCTATTATATTACAGTTTAGAATCCCCGACTTAGGCTGTATACCCCTCGTATACCCTTTATCCGTTGTATACCCAAATTATGGTCCGGTATACACTTGAGTATACTGTATACCCGGTTGAAGAGCACTGTTCTAGACAGACTGAGCAGGCCATCCTTTTTAATTTGGTATTTATAGATAAATTCAGTCAATATTACGGGAAGTGTAAGAACTGATAGCCTGGTTGAACATAAATGGTATGACATATAGTCAAATGCCAAAAAAGGGTTCCATGCAGTGGCGGCGCGTCAATAGGGCCAACCGGGGCAATGCCCCGGTTGTTATTTCGGTATAATAAAAAATATTCGAAAAATACCTCAATATCGGTTGCCCAGACTGTCTACACTAGCCATATTCTCCCGACATGGTTCATTTTTCGCTCGCAAAGCCTTCGCCGAACGTCGACGGGGCGACGCCGATTTTGCCCCGGTTGCTCATTGTATATCGTATTCTCTCTTTTATCTTCCACTCGCCGCGTTTGACTCGTTTGTTTTCTGTTTCTTTTACTAAATCATCGGGGCTAGCCCCGAAATTATGACAACACAATGCCTACGTTTCTTACAACAACGTGTTGACATATTCACGCATTCCTTCTCGTTCGTTGGTTGCTTGAAGAGTTGATAGTTTCCTCGCCTTCGTTTTTGTCGCTTGTTTCGCTATTTGAATCAGTTAGAGACCTTTAGTCCATTTGCTTTCGATTTTCCACATTCCTTTTGAGCTCCTCACTTTTTTCCGGCTTCGTATTTCTTAGCCTTAGACCTCATAATGAATAAGGTTGATGCATTACTTCACACTCCGTTTTCGCAGCTCCCGCTGGAACAAAAATTAGAGGTACAACGTATTGGGCCTTATCAACCAAAAAATTGTTCACTGGAACAATCCCATGACAGAGGAAAGCGTCGGCGTACATTCTGCGCAGAAACTTGGTGTAAAAAACACGAATGGTTGTGTTACAGCGAGGACAAAAATGCACTTTTTTGTTTTTATTGCCTACTTTTTGCTACCGCCCGTGACTCACGTTGGTGTAAATTTGGTTTTAGAGATCTTAAACATCTTTCCGAGCGTGCCAGGGATCATCAATCTTCTATGGAGCATCTGGACAATGCAGTAAAATACCGAACATTCGGAAATGTTAATATTGAGGCACAGTTGGATGAAGGACGCGCGGTTTCTATTCGTCGGCACAACAAAAACGTCGAGAAAAACCGCCATGTTCTCGGTCGATTGATAGATGTTTTGAAGTTCATTGGTTGTCACGAGCTGTCCCTCCGTGGGCACGATGAACGGGCTGGCTCTTCTAATAGAGGGGTATTTTTGGATATGGTGGAATACACCGCATCCCTAGATACAGTATTGAGAGATCATCTTGATGCCGCAACTGTTTCGAAAGGGACATCTAAGAATATCCAAAATGATTTGCTCGACTCAATGTATAAAATTTATTTACAACATTTGGCTCTGGAAATTGAGAATTGCCAGTTCCTTTCGATTCAGTCTGACGAGACAACGTCATCACGTGCGTTTCCCAACTGGCTGTGATTTTTCCGTTTGTGAAAGATGGTAAACCTACCGAGAGATTTCACAGCTTTGTACCAATCGTTGATCGCACGGCTTGCGGGATATCGGCTGTACTGAAAGAAGTGTTACAGCCTTATAACGCGAAGTCAAAATTGATAGCTCAAACTTATGACGGCGCGGCAGTCATGAGTGGGTCGAAACATGGTGTTCAAGTTTATATAAAAAAAGATTTTCCTCATGCGCATTTTTTACATTGTTATGCACACCAATTTAATCTCGTTATTGAAAATATGTGTCTTGATACCCCTCTCGTCCGTATATTTTTTGCAAATGTTCCAGGGTTTTCTTCATTTTTTTTCCGTTTCGCCGAAGCGCTCTGACCTCCTTCGCCAGATATGTAGCCGCCGTCTCCCAGCTTGTGCACCAACACGTTGGAACTTCCAATCACGCGTGGTGCAGGGCGTGTCCGAAATTAGGTCTGAGCTCATTGAGTGTTTCAATGGCATTCAGAGCTCTCCGGTTTGGGACGAACGCTCTGTGAGGGAGGCGGCAGGTCTAAAGCGTCTGCTAGAAGATGGTGAGTTTTCATTTTTTCTCGCTTTTTTCTCCACAATATTCTATCACGTGGATGTATTATACGGCGCATTGCAGTCAAGGCTAATGGATGGAGCGTCGGTGCAGTCGTGTATTTTAGACTTCTGCGATGCTGTATCTCGTATCCGGGAAACAATAAAATACGACGACACATGGAGTGCTTCTTTACGCCGCGGGCAAACA